TTTGAAAGTCACCTCAGGAAGACAAAGTAAGGCATTGCAACTTGGGGTTCGCAAGCAAAAAGCAATGAACACACTCAACATTTCTGAAGCTGAAAGACTGCAGGGGGCGGGGTGGGGGGGGCCAAACCTCAAATTGAAATATTGAAGGATTTTATGAGCAACATATTTAATGATGCAGGAAGCATTCAATGGAATACAAGGAATCACAGTACCGAAAATAATTGGTTGGGGTTCACCTATTTTAAGCGTTAGTATCTGATCAAGGAGGAATACTGAACGAAGGAGTCCAAATGGCACTGAAAGCATTAGTGCAAAGCAAAGCTCTCGGAAATGGTGGAATACCCATGGCAATGTTTGAATAAAGGAACATGGTTCAGGAAGCACAAATTAGTCTCTGCCAAGACATTTGGAAGGCAACTACCTGGCCAAAAAAATGGAAGAATTATATTTGTGACCCTTCCAAAGAAATGTGACTGAATGGAAATTGAAACATTTTGAATTATGGTGTTGGCAAACAATGCAGAAAATACCCTCTGCTGCCAGAAGAACATACATTTTTCCTGCTTTTATTCTGACCATACTTTTCTTTTAAAAGAAGTCTGGCCAGAATTGGACTCAGATGTAGGATGGTGAGCCTTTGTTTGACCTGTCTTGGACATGCTACGAGGAGGTACCTATCCCTGGAAAAGGAAATCATGCTGGGTCAAGTAGAGGGTCATCAAAGACGAAGACGATCTTCAGTGAGATGAACTGACAATAGCAGCTGTAGCAGCAGCTCAAACACGGCAACAATTGCTAGGATGACACAGGACCGGACAGTGTTTCATTCTGTTGTACATAGTGTTGCTATGGGCCTGCACCTAACAACCCCACCCCCCTTCTTCTCTCCAATGGGTTTCCCGCGTTCATATTGACCGTCTCTATGACTTATAATACGTTTTCTGGAATTCCAATTCTTGCCAATGTTTTTCACATTTTTTGATGGTGCCCACAATGGAATAGCTTTCCATAATCAATGGAACAGAGGTAAACATGTTTTGGGGATTCTTTACGTTCCACTAAGAGGCAACAGGCATCATCAGTGATATTCCCTGCAACCTGTCATCTTCTGAATCTTATTTGTACTACTGGCAGTTCCCTGCCAATGTACTGTTTTTACTTTTTAAAGAATCTTCACAGATATTCATTTCATATTAGCGCTGTCATATTCATTACTTAGTATTATGAGATTATTAGATCATTTCCACATCATGTTCCACTGGCTTGCTTTGGAATGGGCACAGATGTGGAACTCCCCCAGGTAGGTTACTAATTAGCTATCTTCCAATGACTTGGAAGAGAGAAGAGAGCACGCTAGGGGCTGCATTCCTTTGATGAAACATGTTTCTTGTTGCTGTTGAAACATTTCAATTGGTATTTGACAATGTCCGCAGGCCCACCTTCCCCGGTTCCGTCAGTGCAATTTGCACTTCTCCTTTAAAGCCATCATTTTTTTGGTCAAGCCAAGGACACATTGAGTGCTTGTGTGAGGTTGGGTTCTCTAGGGTAGCAAACCTAGTGATGTTTGTATGTGCATCTACAGAGGAAGAGATTTATATTAAGAAATAGCTTAGACAGTTACATAAGTAGTGAAGCACAGTCTGGTTCAAATCCATAGGCCAGAAGTAAGCTGACGGCTTCTCTGACTGTGTGGCTGTGGAAGTGGACGAACAGGATGTAGGATAAAGAAACATGGGGGCTGGGAGGACCCAGGCTGCTAGATGCTGTGCCCTTGTCATTGACCTGTCATAGACACAGGTCAAGGATTCCCAGGCTGGCCAAATAAATATGAGGCAGCAGTCCACTGGTGGCTCCTGGAGTAGACAGCTTACACGACAGATTGGTGAGCCAGATGCAGGACCAGATCCAGCAGAAGGCAAAGGGGCAAAAAGGCTCTGTTGTGCTCAGGGTCTCTTTTTTATACCAAAGGCCACACTACCAAGGGCCATACCCACAGGACCATGTCATTATCTGTGATCTGATTCAAGAGCTGCATAAGCTGGGCTCTCCCCCTCCTTCCTTCACCTAAGGACATCTAGTGGCATAAATTTTACCATCATAGTGTTCAACCCCAAGAAGCAGAAGGAAGTTATCGTGTGATGTCCTGTGGCCAGATGAAGAGGAGCTGTCTCCGTAGTGGATTGCAGAGAAAGGTTGCACCAGAGAGGCCATTACGCAAAGTGGAACTGCTTCAACCTCCTCTTTCAATGCGGGCAGTGAAAGATGAAGAACAGCTCTCCACTATCGGATAGTGGTTGGAGCTAAAATGGACACTAAAGCTCTACCCCGGCCAGTGCTCTGAGCCCCCAGAGAGAAGTATTTGGCAGGTCTAGATCCAAGACAGTTTAGTGTTGGTGAAGTAGATAGGAGTTTGGGGACTCTTACCTAGAAGCTGAAGCTCAGATGTTGCTGGTGTCGATAAAGACAGGCAGGTCCAGTCTTGGTAACTTTGGGAAACTGTAAATATGGCAGACCTTCTGCTAATATTTTATACAAACTTTCACTTTCAGTGATAGCACCTTTGAATCACAAAATGGTGCAATTATAAACCTCCATGTTGACAGGGAGGAAACAGGTAAGAAAAAGTATGAAGACTTAGCCAGAGACAAAGACCGTGCATATTAAAACAATGGCTGAACGACCATTTGGCCCCTCTCATTTACCTACCTATAGGGATTCGGTCAATCTCATTGGATCCTTTTACTTATGTTACAATTGGAGATCAGCCTACAGTTGTGATTCGGGTTAAATGATACTATGGGTGAAATGATACACCCCAAAGTTGTGAGTGCTGCATGGTAACCACTTATTAAAAGAGTATCAATGTGGGGAGGTAATTATTATGCAAGGCTCTCACGAGCAATAGCTTCCATGGTAGAGACAAGTGCCAAGCACAATCATGGGGGCATTTAAGAAGCCTCTGGTGGGGTACTTAGCTACTTCCTAAACATTACCATATGAACTACTTTCATACTGCTCCATTTTGAGTCCTAGGATCTCAGGGAAAAGAGATGTGCACAAAGGCTCTCCGTTTTCGTCATTGGAATGTAATTATTTATTTTACAGCAATGAACCTTTGTGTCATGAACCCTTCTTCCTATCTTCACAAGCACAACCGGTAATCCTTAGAAATTCTCTTTAACAGATGCCTCTCCTGAACTGCCATTTCTTAAAGAGTTATCGGGAACAGCGTCTGGCCCACTTGGTCCTCAGCTGTATTACCATGGGCTATGTTTGGCAAGAAGGAGAGACACAACCTGAACAGGTAAGGGTCCACTAGATGCCTGGCATGTCATCTGGCAGGCGCCTGGCCCCTGAAATATGTTTCTACTTGATGCCACACC